ACAGCTCTTGCATGCAAAAATCTTTTAGGCTATTGTCTCTATTGTTTTCCTTTTCTTTGGTTACCAGAAAATTTGTCACGTTGTTTTATTGTAGGGTAAAGCCATCTGATAATCCTTTTTGTGGCGTACTCAAAGCATACATGGAATATATCATTGAAAGTACAATAAATTACATTGAAACACTCAATATGAAGAAAAAAAATGAAAATTTTTGGCAGAAAAAGGAGCAGCACTTGCAGTTGAAAATTTTCATCGCATGGGAGTTTCAAGACACAAGAAATGGCAACAAAAGATGAGGACTATCAAACATAGTAAAGTTTACCCTTATGAGTTATCACTGCCCTTTGCAATCGTTGACCAGAAGAGAAAAGTAAAAGCCAAAAGAAGATCAACACTAGAAAAGGTAAAGGAATTTTATTTTATACAATAAGTAAACATGCAATGCATACAAATAACACAAGCAAATAAACAAGAGGGTAACACATAACCACGCTCACAAAGACATACAGCCTGCAAGTCCAATTGAATGGTCCATGATGTTTCAAGGCAGAGGATGAAGCAATAATGCTTCACTCATAAAATCTAGGGTAATGAATCTCTAACTACATGACCCAAAATACATAAACGCTACAAGTTATACACATCTATATATCAATTGCAAGCAAATTACACCCATTAACTTCTCCCACATAGACTTCACACACAATGAATTGAACTAAATTCATGACTTAAACCATTGAACGAGGGAATCTAAAAATAAGATGAGATAAACATAAATTAAAGATGAAGAACAAAATATGAAAATACTCAATTAGATTAGCAGAAGTACAAAAGGTCATGAAATAAGAGAAAGAGAACTGGATTACCGTAATCACCGGCAAGACCGATGGGGAGCGTATCGGGATGAGGAAATTGAAAAACTGGTAGGCGGATTCAGAGAAATTAAACAACTCTAGCACTTGGTAGGGTTTGCGTTAGGCGAATTTGAAGAGAAAGTAGCGAAACCTCAGAAAAGAGGAGCAGCTGAATTGGATTAAATTGATCGACGGCAAGACCGAAAAGGAGCGGTGGAATCGGAGACGAGGAAATTGAAAACGGGTTGACCGGATTCAGAAAAATTAAACAGTTCCGGTTCTTTCTAAGGTTTTGATCTGCTGAGTTTGAGAGATAATGTCGAAAATTCAGAAAGAAAGAACGCCGGAAATTGGATTACTTTGATCGACGGCGAGACCGGCAGGGAACAATTGAATCGCGGATGAGGAAACTGAAATGCCGGAGAAGTTCTGAGGGGAACGGCGAAATATCGGAGGGGACGCTTGTAACCAACGGCTACTTTTTTGGGTACGGCTCTAATAAGGCTCATGGACCGAACTTTGTGTGTTTGGGGCCTTTGGGCTTCTGAGTCATTTGGGCATCCAGTTAGGCTCTGTTTCGGTCCCATGAGACTGTGAGACTAAAACGGTGCCGCTTTTGATGTTAGTCATTGAACCTAATTTTTGGCTAAATTATATTGGATACTCCTCATCCTTCCACTAATTTTAAATTTTCATTATAATTTTCATAAACTCTATCTTGTTTGGAATATGAAAACAAATAAAAGAAAAATAGAAAGTAGTAAGTGTTGTACCAAGTAAAAAGAAGAAGATTAAGGATCATACTTATTTTATAAGTACATATAAAATATTTCATAAATGAATTATGTAACAAGAAATAAATAATACATTTCTTAAATTCTTTTATTTATCTCAAGTTTTTTTTTTTTTTTGAACATGCAATTTGGGACATGAGAAAATATCATCCATAAAACTTAAATACATTATTTATGAGAAATAATTTTCACTTAACCAAGAGTCTCAACCACTTGACTTTAAATTTTTATTAACTAAGATATAAGAATTGTGCTACTTGTATGATTTCTAATTGTCCAAGTGCGCACTGTTTATTAAAAAATTTCACAATTAAAGATGAAGTGCAGGTAGCTGTGCTAAAAAGACCTTTTTTATTTGTTCTTTCTTTAAAAAACAACACATCCTGGCGAGCTCAATGTTACGTCCAAGACTTGGCCATTTCAAACCCATTCTTACAGTAATGATAGTCTTCAACTGTTTGATCAATCTCAGTTTGTATGTTCATCGCAAACGGTCCATACTGCACCACCAGTTCATTCAAGGGCTGCCCTGCAATCAGGACGAGCCTTAAGGTCTTGGAAGCCGACCGGTTCCACGCACTTATACCTTCTTCAGGACCCAAAACCTGGACATGGTGAGCTGACACAGCAGCCGAGTTTGGTACACCAAACACACCTTCACCTTCACCTTCACCTTCAATTACGTACACAAACGCGTTCCAGGCTTCTGGGATGTCTTGGTGAAACTGAGCTCTCGGTTTTAAAGTGAAATCTAAGTACATTGTCGGAGTTCTAGTTTATACCGTGGACCGAACTCCCATTGATTCTCCGGCAATGATCTTGACTCCCACACCATCTTTCTCTCTCCGCCCTTCTGATGTCCTCAGTTAGAAGCTCCTGATACCTTGGCTCAATCCTACAAAAATTTTGGGGAATGTAATTGAAAATTGAGGTGAAGAAAACGAAATTAAAACAAACCCAATAAATAACATATGCAAAACTTAAAATTGGTCTTACATTTTGACTTTGGAAGAGAGATTGATCCAAAGTTGTAAACCCCTATTGACTCCTTCACCAGCAGCAGGCATTTCAGAATGGATTATTCCTCTTCCTGCTGTCATCCGCTGCTCAAAAATATATAAAATTTCAAATTTATAATCTCGTATTTTATAATCTAGATTACAAAATATATTTTTATTATTAAAAGTGTAATAGCATTCAAGGAAAAAAAAAATGTTAGTTCATACTGAAAAACAACGAGCAGGCATATTTTACCTGCACATCACCAGTATGAATAGTGCCCTTGTGCCCAGCAAAATCTCGATGAGTAATACCTCCCTAAATTGCATTAAAAAGGATCTAATTTCATTTTTTAAAATCTTAAATCTATAAATTGGCCCCAAAAAAATCCATAAAAAAAGAAAAGAAAAGAAAAGAAAATAAAAGAAAGGTTTACCTGGAACATGTAGGTAAGAGTCTCAAAACCCGTGTTGTGGATGATCAGGAAATCCAGCCGGAGGAGATGCAATTTTTGCATCAGCATCAATGGCAATGGTGATGTTATGCTTTTGCCATCATGACGAAGGTCTGCTTATTAATATTA